CTTGAAATCCGTAAAATAGCTCTCCCTCCGAATCATCCCGACTTGGCTGCTTCCTACTACAACATCGGTAATGTGTATGATGAAATGGGCGAGTACTCGAAAGCACTTTCATCGCATGAACGATCACTTGAAATTCGTAAAATAGCTCTCTCTCCGAATCATCCCGGCTTGGCCATGTCGTACGGTAACATCGGTTTGCTGTATGAGAATATGGGACAGTACTCGAAAGCACTTTCCTCCCTCGAAAGAGCACGTGATATCTTCGGAAAATCACTGCCTCCAAATCATCCGAGTATTGCGCGCGTGAAAACATACATTGAAAATGTGAAAAAGAAAATGTAATTGTTTTTTTTTGTTTTTAAAGAGAAAATAAATTGGCCTTCTTGAACCCAAGGCTCGCCGAAGCAAGCAGCTGCAACATTTCGCGCACGCGCGACCAGAGATACCCTCCGTATTCTGCTGGCTCGTACAGTGGACAAAGCCGGCAATGGTTAGCCAAACACACATCGACGTATATATGAATAGTACGACCATGATCATCATCTTCGAAAAGACGATGACAAAATGGACGCTTCTACTCATACATACATTGATGTATGCTATGAAGGCCTACCATCTGCCAGAGATGTCCATCGCGGCGCTGCCGCTGCCGCTGCCGCGGTGGCGGTGGCGGTGCGGCAGCGGCAGGTTTTTGAAAAAAATCACAGCGGCAGCGGCAGATTTTTTTAAAAGTCATCGCGGCAGCGGCAGGTTTTTTAAAAAACCATCGCGGCAGCGGCAGGATTTTTTTGGAGGACATTGAAAAACTGTATGAATTTAATAGAATTTCACGATTTACAAATGAAACGCCCTGATATTGAATAAATCTGATGGACTAGTACCCATATCTCTGGTCAAATCATACTATGGGCTATTAAATTTCAGTCTGAATTTATCAAATAAAAATAATACTTGATTTCAAACTGAAACCTGAGTCAAGGAGTGAGGGAGGGGGGTGACTGAGGGTGCGGGTGTGGGTCTGGGACCCACACACACACCCACACCCATGGTGCGGGTGTGGGCGCGCGAGTGAGGGTGAGGGTGTGCTTGTGGTTTTGTGTACTATAGGCTTTAGTCCCCTACACAAGGGACTAAGCTTTTTGTGGGGGGGACTAAGGGGGACTTTGCAGGACTAGGGGGGACTAAGGGTTTTTAGTGAGACTACGTAGTATCAAGCGAGAAAAGTTTGATTCGGAAGAAATTGGTGCGGTTTTTTTGATTTTGGAATTCAGTTTGAAATAAAAAAGCCCATAGACTCGGTCAAATATAGTCACAGCAGTGAAATTAGAAACACTTTTTTGAAAATCGTCGCGGCAGCGGCACGTTTATTTTATAATTCATCGCGGCAGCGTTTCTTTTATAAGTCATCGCGGTGCGGCTACATTTTTTTATAAACCGTCGCGGCGCGGCAGCTTTTTTTTTCTAAGGCCGCGGCAGATTTTCAGCCGCGATGCACATCTCTGCCATCTGCACGCCTGCACGGGTCACCAACAGAACGTCGGATATCCCTGAGAAGGTTCATTTTGTTTTAAAGCCACCCTCAAAAGCTCCATTAGTTAGAAAATTATTTTTGTTCTTCTGTTATGAAGAACGAGAAGAAGTAGAAACGGAGGAAAGATAAGATATGAAAACGGAAAGACGCGATATAAGACGACGTCGACGTAACGAAATGATAATACGCAGCGCATGACGACAACCGGTGTTTATCAAGCAATGGAATATTGAGTGCACGATATCATTGTCGTCTTTAAACATTTCATGTTCAATTCGTCTGCGTTTTCATCTCGAATGTGTAAGAAAAACTTGCATGTCGTACACTCACCATTTTAGCAAACAAACAATGATTCAATGAAACGACGGATAAAAACAATACATTCGCGGTCAATTTGAGTAATAACTCATGCAGTGCATGTCCTGAAATAGAAATAAAGAATAGAAAAAAAGGAAAGGTTATGTTAACATTGATGGTCAAAAACAACATGAGGCTTTCGGAAGATACTTATCAGCCTTGCTGTTTTTTTAAATGTGCATCAATATTAATATCCGATAAGAAAATAAAAAGAATAAATATTTTTCTTTATATATTCATGAAACAATTCTTAATTCAGACAAATAATATAGATTAAAAGGTCTAATTATTCGTATATCTGTTCAAATAAATAAAATAATTGTAAATACTTATTTAAACTTTAAAAATACTTTTATAAGATAAGGAAAATCTAATTAACAAATTTTATAGATATTTTATGTGAATAATTGAATTTCTATTTCAAAAAAAAATTTGCTCTTTAACGTCAACAAACTTATGATCAAAATATTTTTTTTATTGAAAATGATTAATAATTCGATGTTGTTGCTGCTTCTATTTAGGATTATGAAATCATTTTTTCACATCTTATTTCGATTAACATTAACATATTTTTTAATGAAGGTTACAATTGAAGATTACAAATATTATTTTGATCAATTTTAATTTTTAATAGTTATTTATTATATTCACAATAAGATCTTATTTCAGTTCTAAAATATTAAAATAATTATAAAAAATTAAATGATCATATAGGTAATTTATGAAAAGCTTTCATTTTATCTTTAAATATTATCTTGAGATGATGTTAATATCAATGTTAATCGATGTGATACTTCAATTTTAATGTATTTTATTCGATAAGTTTTTTATTTAGGTTTAACAACTTGACCAACACTTTGCTTGTGTTTTGATTGATTTTTATAAAATAAAACATTAAAAATCATTGTCTGTTTATAAAATTTGAAGGTTAATAATTAAACATAATTTTATTCTCTATCACACCGACATCCTGTAAAATTCATGCTTGATTTCTGATGATCATAATCAACGATATGGTTTACGTTTTTGAGTTAAACCTAATAGCTAATTTCTGGCCAAGAAAAGGGAGACATTTCTGTATTTTCAATAACTCATCTAACACTTTGTACTGTAAGATGATTTCGAAAACAAATCGTTTTCGTAAAACATTCAAAAGAAAACCTAACGATGTTCCACTTTGATGTAAGTTCAATTTTTGACATCGGCTTCAATTTCACAGTTCTAGATACGGTTCAGATGATTAACGTCTCACAATTTTCTCATCATCAAAATTTACTTGAGATTAAATAACATTTTCATCTATGTTTTTGAATTTTTTGCAAGGAGTATAGATTTCAAAATAATTGTCTCTTTAATAGTATCAGATGAAAAGACTTCTAATAGAGTTCTCTTTGTTCAATGGTTGTGCAAGGCACAAGCAACTGGCTATTGCTGTTGTCAAGTTATTGAGATTACACTGAAAAGTTAGATTCTTCAACCATAATAATAATATGACTACTTTTTGCAAGCAAACGACAAGAAATTGATAAAATGATTTCCTTTTCGTTAAATAAATTCCAACCTATTATTTGATTTCAACAAACAAATAATGTCATGTTATCTTCTGGATTAAAGATTAAATTTTTATTTTGTATCTGTTTCAGTCAGATAAACCTAAAATGAAATAAAGACATTGATTTTCTATGACCATTTATATACAGTATCTAGAAACGCATCTGACAAAAATCACACATTATGTTCTTTCAACTTTTGTTTGTTTTTGTTTTCGTTGTTTTTTTAATTTTGTTTTCGTCTCTGATAAAAAAATTTCGTATGCCAAGAATATAAAATATCCTTGAGAAATCGATGACAAACGAAATAAAAAAAAGAATGTATGCTTGTGTTTTGTTCTTCAATAAGCACGTTTTTTGTCGTTTCGGTGACTAGTGTTTTGATTTCTTTTTCTTTCTTCTTATGTATCACGTTTTTTTTTAAATCTCTTCCTGAAAATGAATTTGATTGAATGATGACATTCCAAAGGAACGAAAGACAAAACCAAAAAAAAAGTTCTACCAGTAAAAAAACTAATGCAACGAATAAATTCATCATGACTTAGTTTTGTTTCGACTATGGTGAAGATAGTTGGAACAAGTTCAAATATGTGAATAGCTTTTATAGAATTGAATATAGATTTAAATAACCATTTTCTTTTTTTAAATATACTCATGATGATAGCAGATACATATTTACATCAACATCAATAATGATTCTTTTTGAAAATGGTATTTCAAAAAAACAGAAAATTTTCTTGGCGTCTATAATCGGATCTTACTTTTGAAATTTTTAAACAACTCGTTCTATTACTATGTTCGCCGTATATATCTATCGATAAATTCCACAAAATAAAAAAAGACAATTTCGCCCCAACAAAAATCGTTCTTGTTCCAAAAATCAATTTTTAGAATTAGTAATTTTTATTTAACATCATCTTATATATGATGTATTAAATCACGTCCTTTTTTTATGAAATACTTCAGACAATAAAAGAAATTTCGGTTGAACCAAAAAAAAAACAAAGGTTCCTTATATAATAGATTAAATGGAGATAGTATTCAAGTTAACATTTAAACAAAAGGACTTTCATAAATATTAATAGAAACAATCATACAAATTTTTCGAAAACAATATGCATACGAAGTATGATGGTTAAATTGAATTTTTTTTACAAGCTCAAACTATCAATGGTTGCTGGATGCCCAGAAGTACACTTCAATTTTGGACATCATCTGTTTATGATTAGAATGAATATTGTTCGAAATCTTCAGATAAAATTTAGATCAATGACGTAGAAACAGATTACTAATTGAAATAGGTATTGTTACGATACGTAATTTTCTGATTATTCGAATCATTTCCATGATGACTGCATGACTATTCTGACAACGCACGGAACTGTTTTTATTAAGTTATGCATGTTTCAATTATGATAGAGTTGAAGTGTTGAAAAAAATATATCGTACGTGAAACAGGACACGACATATTGTTCGTCTGTACACAAATCTCTTTGATTAAATTTATCTTTAAAACGATATGTGATCGACGGTTACGTTCATTTCCCTCATTGTTGAACTGTAATGTATAGAGACGATTCATATGTCGTATGCTTGTTACTGGATCATAGGAAGAAGAAACGTTGTCTAAGAAGATGATTGCTGTCTCTGTAAACAGAAAAGAAATGCATTAAAATTGAAGGAAAAACGAATAGATAATACACTTAAATTCACGCCCTCATTTTATCATTGTTTTTCTATGCAACCTTTAAACGGAAAAAGATGCCAATAGTAACAATAGATAAATAATTTTTATTGACTGTCTTCTTTTTTTATATAGAGGATTTTGAAATTTTTTGTAGGAAGAAATACAGAAAAAGATTTTCGAATCTACTTCGTGAAATTGTTTTGTAACTTTATGTTGATAATCGTTCAAGTGAAAAATTTATCAATGAATGGAAAGATAGTGTTTCATGTTGTTCATCTTGATATGAAAACTCGGGAGTTCTTAATAGAAACTTCTCGTTGCATTAGAAAAACTAATTCATTGAACTCATTATCAAGATCTAAAAGATCATCTTTGTCTATGAGAATTCACTTTCAGTTGAAATATCTTTCAGATATTAAAACATTTATACTCGTGAAACTTTGTTTCATTCTTCTATATCAATCATTTTTGTTGTTGTGGAGGCAAAAGCTTCGTAATATCTGCGAAAAGTGTTTTTAGGATAAGACAATTCTCTTGATCTCAGTATGAATGAAAATTGCATAAAATTAAGAATGTTTTCGATATTAAGCATGTTCTGTAGCTATCGCAATTTTTTTTGTTAAATATACACAAAAATTATCAATGACATGTATTTAATTAAATCGACAAATTCTAAAAAATACTAATGAATATATTAAAAAAAGGCCTGCTGAGGTAGATGCTTCAGAACCATGAAATCTCTAAGTATACAGCTGATAATGCAGTATATATTATTTCTATTTTTAGTTTTTGAGATTTCTCTATCGACAAAAAAACATTCATTTAATGCATTTTGAATAGATAACAGTGGTGTTAAAGCACTAATATTTGTAGATTCTGTGAGTAGTTTTCCATAGTCGACTGAATTTAAGACACCAATATCAAAACATACATAATCACCCCATAGTAATGTCGTAATTGAAAGAGTGATTGAACTAGATTTTATAAGCACTATCGTTTTTACACGTTTCACTTTCTTTTGAACGTAATTTAAAGTAACAGGTAAAGATGAGAAGGATGTCGTGCTTTTGCCGATCACGTAGTAATGTTTTCGTTTTAAAATTTACCAGTGAATCAGTTACTCCTATTATCTAGTTATATATGTTAGTTGTTAATATCCATTGAATTGTTGAAATGGGTGAAATACAAGAAAGAAGAGTTGCTTTGTTGATTGAAAATCTTAAATTGTAAAAGATATTTTTAAAAAAGTCTCTTCAGTTTAATTAAAATCTCATGAATGTTTTCATATTGATCAATGAAATAGATATATTCGTGTAGGTACCTAAAGGTTCACCGTCTGTGAAGTTACATGATACACTGAGAGTGAATTACTATTTTGTGTAGATGTCAGCTTGAGACACGATAACAACAAATCCAAGTGAAAAATAAAGATGTGAATTTAGTAGTTGATCGTAGTACTCAACGATTGTGCATTTTTTCATTGAATTCGTGTATTTAGTTTGAGACAATTACAAGTAACTAACGACTGAATTATTGAATGTAGGACGGATAGATAATGAATTATTTTTTTGTCTTTTATACAAATTGTCGAACTGATCAAAGAATCTCTTTCTTCATACTATTTAGCTTTCATTAAAAAAATTATTTCAATACTTTTTTGTTTTTTCATCTATTCAAATCTTTCGTCAAACTATTGTCAGTATAATCTTTATTTCGATTGAGCTCGGGTATTGGAAATAATGTGATATTTGCAGATACAGGATTTGTAGTGGTTTCTCTTGAACATTTATATGAAAACCTTTTTGAATCTCATTAAGTATCAGTATAGATGTTTGTCCGCTTTTAAATATTTTTAGACATATATTTTGAAATGAAAATTGTTTGAAATAATTTCATTATAAGAATGAAAAGCATTTGCATTTAACGATAGGATATTTTGTTTCATATATTACAAGAGAAATACTTAATATAACACTTGAGGAAAACAATATCAAGAGTGTAGACCAATGTTCAAGTTATAGAAAAGCTCGAAAGTCATGATAAAACTGAAAATGTTTTCCTTCGTCTCTTTAAGATCTAGGGTGTAGGTATGGATGTGCTTGAAGGGACGAACAGCACCCACACCCCAAAATTCTCTCGGCTGACAAATCTTAGAAAAAAGAAGTACATCGATATGCATACTTCAAGCTCTCACCCACACGTACATCTATAGTTGAAATTAAAAAGCATACTCAAATCTCTATGATAATAATTGAAAGAATCCAATTATTTTCCATTTAAACTCATTCCATCAATTCATCGAATGGAACGATCATTTCTTTCGAAGTTTTCAAGCCTTGGTAAGTTACTAATAAGAAATTTTGAAAAATTAAAAATGTAATACATCT